TGATCAGGTGAACAAAATTCAGATGCTTGGCAACTGGTCCAATATCACATGATCCCCTTTTGTGACCTTCTGACAAGCGAAGTCAATGGGGAAGCCAGATTCACTTAACAACGGGGTTACTAACTTAACAACTGCAGTGATTCACTTAACAACTGCGGCAAGATTAACAGCAGCTAGAATTGTATTTGCCAAAAATTGGAAAAGTGAAAAAAATCCCGATAGAAGAGGAGGTGATCAAAAAAATAATGGGATGTGCAGAAATGAGTAAATTGACATGAGCAACTAGAGAGCAAGAAGATAAAGAATATTATAAAATCTGGGGTTTATTTTATCAATGGCTAGATAAGAAAATAGGGAAATAAAATATATTATAATAATAAATATAACATGATAGTAATGATAAGATAAGGTAATGATATGTTACAACTGATCATAATGAAATAAATGATATTTTGTATTAGGTCATGTAATAGTTGAGATCTGCTCGAAAAGAAGATGTGAATTTATAATTAAAGTCTGATAAGGTGTTAATAATAATATAATAGGCATAGTCAATATATATAATATGAATTATAATTTAAATCTAGAAGGGAAAGACTGCTGATATTGTGCACAAAAGATATGCACCAACCCGTGCACTGTACAATGGAATGATGGTTTTATTTGTTGTTTTATGTTTGTGTTTGTTTATGTTTGTTGTTAAAAAAAATTGGGGAAAAAACCAACTGTGGCAAAAAAGGTGGTAAAATGGGGCAAAACTCACCTAACAAATGTCTCACTTAATAACAGAAATGTTGGGCTCCATTGTGGTCGTAAATCAAAGACTACCTGTATCCAGGGGTGGAATTCTACCAGTTTGCACCTATTCACTAGAATTGGTTGTTAACATTCTAAGCAGTTCGGAGAACCGGTTGTGAGAAGAAATGACTGGCCTAATCCTGTAAGGAAGGCAGGAAGGAAACATTCTGGTGTTGCTTACAGAAACTGCCTCTCCGTTAACCCTTATTACATTCTTGGCAGGACTAGACTTCCTGTCTCAGGAACTTCTCTGGAGTTTTTTTCCCCTCCTTTGCTGGTACTTTGCTTGTGTGGAGTGACCACTCAAAGTTACAATGGCACTGAAAAAAGTGTCTTATGACTATTTTTCACACTTACGACTGTTGCAGCATCCCCACAGTCATGAGAGGCCAAGCAAGGAGATGCGTGCCTCAATGTGAGTGATATTGAGTTGGCCATGCCCAGCCAGTAACATGACCACCAAGCTGTGTCCACCCAGTCACATGACCACCAAGCTATGCCCACCAACTAAGCCACACCCACAGAACCGGTTGTTAAAAAATTTGAATCCCATCCCTGCCTGTATTTCCATTTCAAGTTCTATATTGCTGGCTATTCATCGCTGGCTGCCATTGAATCGCACCTCGATATTGGCATGTTAGGGTTGAAGTCTCAAAGGTGCTTTTTTTTTTTTCTTCTTCAAAAGGCAACCGGACTGAAGCTTCATCAGTTCTGGCTGAGAACTGAAAGCTTCTCAGCCAAGAAGCTATTTTCCTCAAGAAAAGAAAAGAAAAAAAAGCACCTTTGAGACAACTATGATCTGGATGACTGAGAATCTCCATAGACAGTTACGGTTGAAGGCCATTAGAAGAGGCCTTTTGCATAGGAGTGATGGTGTAATTATTGTAGGTTATTGTCTTCTTGTATTTATGTTTTGTGGATTATCATTTTACTTGATTGTTTCATCTTTGTAATGTTACTGTATTTTTTGATCTCCTCTGATTCAGAGCCAGAGGAATATAATAAATAATTCAGAGTACCATTTCCAAAACGTTATAGTAATTTAGTTCTTTTTCTTCTTCCATTGTTTTAATCCCATCAGGTGGAAAAGTCACAAATTCTCAATCCAGGCTAAATGCTTTTACCACTTCTTCATCAACTGTAACATTTCTACTGGTATTGATGGTCCCTTCAACGTCATGGTGAAGGAAGAAGATAGAAGACTTTTCTCATTTCTCTGGTTGCTTTAGCGTGATAACACCAACGGATGGACGACCAAGGAGAAAGCAGAAGGTTAATTATCAAAGGAATCTCAACGGTGCTTTTTCAAAAGGTAACCGGACTGGGTTTTTTTCCCCTCAGGAAGAAAAAAAAGACGTTTCGCTTCTCATCCGAGAAGCTTCATCGGTTCTTGGATGAGAAGCAAAACATCTTCTTTTTCTTCCTTGGGGAAAAAAGATAGTCCACTTGCCTTTTGGAAAAACACCTTTGAGACAACTATGACCTGGATGACTTAAAATCTCCACAGATATATCAAAGGAATGTTTCAGAAATGGATCTAGTCCATCAGGAAGAATATTGAAGGAAATAACACAAAAATAATCCACCAGGTGTCTTCTCTTTGGTTTCCATAATTGTCATCTTTTGGGGGAAAGGGATGTTTTTGCCCGATAGAAAATATGCAGATTCTTTGATATAAACTTTTGTAAACAAATGGAAATTATGTCAAATTTTATTTACCTTTGTAATTGTTTGTATATTAGCTAGCATCAATCTTACACCCTTAGTAAATTAAATGACTGAGACAGTGCATCCATTTTGTTTGCACTGCTAAGGACTTTTAACAATTTTAAGGAAAAATATATATAAATATTTGGATTCTAGTAAATTATCCCTCCCCTTCTCAGAAGGCTGAGTTTTGTTTTACTTTTTTACTTATCAAGAGAAAAATGCCATGATATGATCCGGTTTCAAAAATGACCGTAGCTAATGTTGCCTTTAAGGGGGAAAAAATCATATAATTATTATCTTTGGTATAGTATGGTAATTTTTCTTCTGTTTTCTTCTCTGTTTGTATTCTCCATGCACATCATAAACCACTTTTCCAGATCCAAGTACATCTGAAGCATATTGAACTGAGTCTAAAATTGAGGCCTATCATTTTGTACTAGTTATTGTCCACTACAATAAGGGAGAAAAAAATTGCTTATTTTTAATAGCATAACTGTCCATGATAGGGAGCGCAGATGATACTGAAATTATTGTTGGACACTTAATCTGAGTCTTCAGCAATTGCTAACTGCAAATATGAAATCAATGAAGAGAGACAAAGCTGTCTTCCCCAAACAGCTTTCTGTCTTTAGACCTTTATTTTTGTAGTTCATTTTTGTATGGTACTGTACTGTCTATATTTGGTGATTTAGCAAAATGGTATCAATAAGCATTTCAAGATTGGAACAATTGGTGTTGCCTAGATTGTACTTAATATGAAGCAAGGACATTTTTTTTAATGTCCAAAATGAAAAGGATACAGTTGGGCAAATGCTTTTAATGTTCTCAGGCTTAAGAATCAAAGCCTTTAACCTTTCCATATCCAAGGTCTAGCTTCAAAACAGCAAGTAGTGTTGGATCAACTTTTAGTTCTTATCATCTCCTCCTCCTCCTGTTTCTCTTCTCCTCCTCCTTCTCTTCTTCTTCCTCCTCTTCCTTCTCCTCCTCTTCCTCCTCCTCCTTCTCCTCTTCCTCCTCTTCCTCTACTCCTCCTCTTCCTCCTCCTCCTCTTCCTCCTCCTCTTTCTCTTCTCTTCCTCTTCCTCCTCCTCCTCCTCCTCCTCCTCCTCTTTCTCTTCTCTTTCTCTTCTCTTCTCTTTCTCCTCCTCTTTCTCTTCTCATTCTCCTCTTCCTTCTCCTCCTCCTCTTAATCCTTCTTCTCCTTCTCTTCCTCCTCCTCTTTCTCTTTTCCTTCTACTCCTCTTCTTTCTCTTCCTCCTCCTCTTTCTTCTCTTCCTCCTCGTCCTCCTCTTTCTTCTCTTCTTCCTCCTCCTCCTCCTCCTCCTCCTCTGCCCCTGCCTTCTCCCCGTGTGCCTGTATATGTTATTTTCTCATATGCAACTACTTCTGTACCAAGGCATTCTATCACAGTGGGGCTGAAAAGAGCTCATGAGAAAATGGATAGTGCCAGAGAATTTGAATAAATGAACACTAATATAAAGCTTCCCTTCACATACTTAAGAGATCTAGAAGTAGCTTCATTATGCTTTCTTTTTTCCCACAACATATAATGAAAGTTTACATTATATTCAAGATAAACTGTCTTTTTCTCAACCACAACCCAAATATTTGCACCCTGGGTTCTTTTTTTATAGTGGTCTTCCCATCCCTTGCTTCCTATTCTCTTCAACCATCCTATTTCAAGAATGGGGGGGGAGACAAGATGAGGGGGGTAACCTATGGTGTTATATTAGTAAAATAAATTTACTTTAGAAGAGAAATATTTTTCCAGTGCAGGTTGTGGAAATGCTCACAGGTACATAGAGACTTGGCTTTGCATAACCAATAATTTGTATTGACAGCACATCCCACTCTTACTGCAATTTGCTTTTGAATACAGAATACAGAGTTGGAAGGGACCTTGGGTGACATTTAGTCTAAACCCTGCTCAAGCAAGAGACCTGTGCCATGGTTGTTCGGTCATAAAAACTTCTAGTGTTGGAGCATCCACAACTTCTGGAGACAAGCCATTCCACTGATTAATTGTTCTCACTGCCAGAAAATTTCTCCTTAGTTCTAGCTTGATTCTCTCCTGAGATAACTTTCCATCTGTTACTTTTTATCCTGCCCTCAAGTGCTTAAGATAAGAGATAGACTGCCTCTTCTCTGAGACAACCTCTCAAATATTGGAAGACTGTTATCATATCATCCCTAATCATTCTTTTTGATAGATAAGAGACAGTTCTCACAACTGTTTAACCTTCTCCAGTCCCTTAATCTTCTTTGTTGCTCCTCTCTGCCTTCTTTCTAGAGTCTCAACATCTTTTTTTGTATCGTGGTGATCAAAATTGGACACGATATTCCAAGTGTGGTCTTACCAGTGATGTAACCTTGATACTATCCCTCTTTAGATGCAGCCTAGGACTGCACTGGCTTTTTTTGGGGGGGGGGGGTAGCTGCAGCACACTGCTGGCTCATACTTAAGTAAAATACAAAAGGATAAACATCATCAAAGTATATCAGAAGCTTACCACTCCTACAATGAAAATTAGATTTTCATTTAGACCCTCTCAGAATGGTCAGATGGGATTGGTGAGTGACAAATCCAGAAGTGATTGGGTTATACTAGACCTCTGATGAGATTATTAGAAAATCCTAGATTTTATTGCATCCTTCTCAACACGTTGTGGTCACTTAACCATTACCAATAAGAGAATATTTGTACTCAGGGTTAGACTTCAGAGTACTTGGTACTCTCCGAGTTGGTTGGTTGTTTGCTTTCATTACCCAACTAGGTATCATAACCAGTGCCTTACTTAAACATAACCATGAAACCAGAGCTATGTTGGTAACTTACACATGACTAAAATCTACATATTGTAATATTTACATGGAGATGCACATAGAGTGACCAATTCTATGATTTGATTGAAAATTACAAAATATAGTGGGGAAATATAGTGTGACCACTGTATCTATATACCTCCTCAACTTTGCTGCTAATTATTGATGGGCTTTACAGCTACAGCTTTCCGTTTTTCTTAGTGTTTAGCAGTGAAGCTCACCTGCATTAGATAGCTTTTCAATTATAAGTTGCTCTTAGAAGAGTGTTCTGAAAGTAGGGTGAACAATCATTGCTAGCAGTATAAAGCAGCAAATGGAAGAGCTATCAATATCAAGACATAAAACATTATTCCTCTTTAAGTCAAAATATTTCATTACTATCAGCATAAGAACTTTATCATGTATGAGTTTGTGGAGGGTTCCCCCCAAAAAAATAATATTGTAAAAAAACCCTGAACTTGCCAGTAAGTTAATTCATTTTAGACAATGAACTTGAATTCAGAAAGAGGGTTCCTTAGATGGAAACATGTCATCAAATCCAGATGAAAACTGGAGCTGTTGAAATCAGTGGTATTTAAGTTAAACATGAGTAAGTCCCATTGACCTCTACTGTTTGACTCTAGATCTTAATAGGTCTCAGTACAATCAAGTTGTGCTATCTGGCTTCCTTCAAATGTGATCATCCAGCCATGTTACATTTCAGCAAATATCACCTTTTCTGCTTCTTATACTCTTACGACCTCTGTCCGTAAATCACTTCTTAATGACACCATGCTAGAGTTTCCCCATCAGGATCAGCACGTTTTCTGTTTTTATTTTTCAGGATAATGGTGAGTGGCATGTTTAAAAAAAAGATCTTTGAAGAGAACTAGAATCCTTGATAAAGCATGTTTGGCACTTCATCACCTGCAATGTGAACTCACACACTTGCAACATCTCTGTTCATGACCAATAATATTTTGGATTTCTGTCATCAGTAAGATCTACTGTAGCAGACTACCATAAGCAGAGGAGTACAAGTTGCCTTGGTTAACATGGTACATCTGAATGGCCATGATTTATTTAACTGCCCTGAAGTCAGCCTCATGTAGGGTCACCACAAAGATAGACGGGTGTATGGTATGCCTGGACAGAAGCTAGATTTTGCATCTATAGCCTATTAATAAGCAATGTTATTTTTAGTTATTGCCATATTACCATATTTATTATTTCATCAAAGACAACATCTCCATGTCATGATCCTAATTTGTTGTTAATATTGTCACGGTAGGTTTGTTGACTGCAAACATGTGAATTCATTCATATATTACAGTTTCTTTGGATTACTGTGTAACAAAACAGTCCAACATAACTAGAAAGACTGTATTTTTGTATAATGTCCTAATAACTGAATGTGATTGGAAAGGGAGAAATAAAACAATCTTGGCTTAGAAACCAAAAACAAGGTCCAACTCAAAAATGTTAGAAAACTTGTATACAACTTGTATATATTTACTATATATAATGGTATATACTATGTGAAAGACACAGTAAAATACTGGTTCCTGTGTACTGTTCTTGTAACATTAGATCTTTTTAATAAATTATTCTCTTTTTATTGACTTTTATCTTATGTCCTGTCAGGTGCTAAATCATGTGGGTTCGTTTGTCCAT